CCACTGCCAACACCATTACCACCGCTGCCCTTCCTCCAACCCCCCGGTATCTGCCATGAACTCTTCTTTCACATAGCTCGCCCTCAACTAACTGTAACTTCAAATTAACGTATCCCCATAGCACGTCACATACAGTTTTTAATTGTTTTTTAAGTAAATAAATAAATAAATAAACTACACCTGCCATCAAAATACCGCCACTTATCTGATAATACCTACCTAGGGGTGAATTAGCCAATAGATAGTACTTTGCTTCCGGCTCTCGACGGAAACTGGGCCTCGTACATTAAAAAACGTAATTTTTGTTTACTAATTAAATGAGTCAGCCACTGTATTTTTGTAACAATGCATTTTCAATACATTTTAATCTTGTAAATGCCACTATCAAAACTCAATGCCTAATGAATCATAATTAATATTTAAATTAAATTCTTATTGAATACAGTCACTTTTTTGGGATTTCAGAAATGTAATAAAATAAAATCTTGAATGGAACATTTTTTAGATACGTTTCTGCATACGTTTACAATGCATACCCAAATAGATCGAAATAGCTTTTCAATTTTTTTCACAATGATGACTAATTGTTCTGCAGAATGTTGATTTGTTGATTTTCGAATTTGAAACTAATGACGGTCAGTCGTCCTAACGTTAACAGATTTTTGTCACTAGTTCATAGCTAGGTGGAACCAGTATCTGAAGGGGAATTCTATAGATCGCTTGCTCTGATTGGTAATTTGTTGTTTCTAAATACCGATGTTGTAAAGCTGGTTTTTTACCCCCTAACATTGAATTCGTACGCAACAAAGTTTAATTCCACAGTGGCCATGTTTAATTTGTAGTCAGTCAGGGACAGTCCTTCGTCCGCTGGAGCAGGGTACGGGGAAGAACGGGGGAGGCCCTACGCCTATGGCGCTTGGGTTGACTGACTCTACGTGTAGTAAATATTACGAGGAAAGACGTAGGAAATGCTAGGAGGGCGCCGGAGCAATCTTGGATGGGAGATAGTCTGCTAAATGAAGGTACTATTACACAGCGTTCCCTTGCTTCGAACACAAACTTACCGTACCATTGGTTATTAATACATATTTTAACTTGTTTCTAGAAAAGAAGTTTGTAGAAAAAA